GCAGTCTGTGGGAAGTGGAGAACCGAACGCGACCGTCCCTCATGACTGGTAATTGTCATTGCAGGGGCTCCGAGCTCGAAGAGAGCCGATTCAGATGGAGATAGACATCTGTGCCATATCTGCAAATAGTGTCAATGTCTGAGCGCGAGACAAACTTGATCATCCTCGAAGGAATGTGCTTACCCTTCCATACTGATCAACTTGAGATCACCACCAAAGTATCGAGCGTACAAGCGACTGATTGGCAACCCGTACCCAAAGCCAGCCATGGGAGCTTTGAAGTCGTTCTTATCGAAGTCCGGATCCAGATTGGGCGTCTGGTCCACGGTAGTGTACATGTATGTCCACACCAACGGGATGGAAGATCGGGGTATGCCACCACCTTCATCGGAGATTTTGATGGTGATGTCCTCCTTTCCTTCTGCCACAATGACCTTTGTCACAGGGAATGCTTCCTTGTCCGCGCCGTGGGTCTCCACCACAGCACGCAGCGAGTTCTTGAGGGTCTCGAAGAGCATGTGCGACAGGTGACCGGGAACGTACATGAAGTTGAGATCGTCCTTGCAGATGAGCTGGATCTTCGGAGCTTCGAAAAGACCATAGTAATCCTCACAGACAAAACGAGCATTGTCAATGGCCTCGAGTGCGACTTCTCGAACATTTGTCTTGGTGCAAATGATACCGACATAGTTCGGGTGGCGAACATGCGTTTGTTCCGTCAGGGCGATGTGTTGACCGATCAACATTCGTATACCGATACGGGACATATAAAAGCGATCTAAGAATGACTGGACAGTAGAATCAATTTGTAAACGCTGGCGTTTTCGCTTCCATTCCAAGATGCCCTGGGCTACGGTGGTCACGACGCTGTCGTGCCGCCGTTTGATATGCTGCAGAGTCTTCGCGAACCGTTGGTTGTAGTCGTTCAATTCGGGTGGCCAATGGCCTTGGTCATCGGAGGGGTAGAAGTATCTTCGGCTGACATGCCCCTTCCCGTTGCCATTCCCGTTCGAGGGGGACGACCGATACTGCCCTTCCTTGATGCTGGGATTCTGTGTAGTTTCGGAAAGAATTTTAGAAAAGCCGCCATTCATCTTCCCGGGCCGTAAGAGGCGAGCTTTGACTTCTTGAGAAAGAGTTGGTCGGGGCAGGTTGATGATTTCCTGCGGAGCACGTGAGCAGCCGTCACTAGGGCAAGAGGCGTCAAGCGTGGAGTCATACCTCGAACGACTGCGCATACCAGTCCTGCACCTTCTTGATCGATGGCATTTCACTCAATCCATCAGGAAGTTCTCCAAGATCCTGAACGCGATGTGCTAAGCGAATAGGTAACTCTTCGGAGAGAAATTGTGAGGCACGAAAGAGAGTCCCTGCAGGCTCCGACCGACGGACAATGAGATCAGCCCTGGCTGCTGCCCAATTGAAACGCTTCAAGATATCCTGGGAGAACTAGATCGATGCACATACCTGTCGATGGTCTGTCACCGAACTGGACCATCTGCCGGAGAGAGACACCTGTGGCGGGGAAGCTCGCATAGTGTCTGATGGTTTCCATCAGTCTCTCCGACGGTTTCCACATGTCGTCTTCAAATACAGGCCAGACGGCCTGATGTGCACGCTTAATTAACCCAGAGAATCCAAATGATACAACTGGAAATGCGATGGGAACCTGAGTTGGCATGCACACGATGGTGATGGGAGAGAAGAGAGCGGTCGAGGTACCCCGGACGTCGGCTGCCGAGGTTGTTGAGTCACAAGGGAGAGCGCAGGGCGGTAAGAGCTCTGGAAGCTCCGATTCGGAGGGAGTGAGGGGAAGAGGGGCTCAAGGGGGATGGGCATGCGGACGAGGTAAATATGCTTGTTCGGAAGTGGTATGAGAGCACGATTTCACGAGTGTGTCGTACGATTTAAGGAGTTTCAATGCTTCTGCTACAAAGCATTCTATTTGAAGAGAATCCCCTCAACCGACAGGGAGACGACACGATACTAAATCAGTCACTACGGAGTACTGTGCTGCTGTTGCGGAGACCCGGGGGGTCACGTGTGGGGATGTACCCGTGCCTGGCCGAAGGAGCAAAACGGGTGAGAATCAGCCGATTCTCGCGCGACGACGACCCAGCGAGGCTCTCTGATGATGATTTATATAAGAGGTCACTTTTCCTGCTCGGGAAAAATTTCCTGTAGAGCGGCTTTACATGACCAGACTGGTTCTGATAGTCACCTTCTCCCTGTCTAACAGCACCTCCAGCCCCATATGGCAGCGGAAGAGTGGGTGGAAATGTGAATAAACAATAATAGAGATCCTCCGGATTTCCCCTTCGCCCGAGAAGCTTGACTTTGGTTTTGCCGGCAAGCCCACACGCGATGGAGACGAAAGTTTTACCGTACATCAGATCACCTGAAATCGTCTAGATAAAGGGGCAGACTAGCAATCGGCTTCTCAGTCACGGTCTCCTCGGTCACTTGGTCTGTCGAGACTCGAATGAGGCTAATGACCACGCTACTGCAGCAGTTCTTTCATGGAAATTGAGATGTCGGGAGATGCGGTTGACAGTTGACACCCCACGGTCCACGGTTTTGTTCTCTAGTCCCGCAAGACTATTTATCCCTGGACAGGGACCCTCGTTTCGAGGGGACCTCCTTTTCTGGACTTGGGGAAAATGTCTTATACCCGATCGCCGTTCCGGTCCTTGACCTTTACCCTCAATTCTCGATGGTTGGGACGCTTCATCGCGCAATCAAAAGGAAAGTTTTGGATAGGTGAAAGCTCAATCGTAGCCATATGGTGTTGAGCTGGCCTTCTGACTTCATTTTGCTTCTTTCTCTCTGAGCAAACTTCTTTAGTCATTCCTTGTCGTCATTTTCGGGAGATCAAGGATCTTAATCTGAATCATGACTACGAATGACGAAGCAACAGTCGCAACAGTTGACTTATCCGAGAATGATTTACATGCATGGGACAGAATCCCGCCAAACAGGATTTAAGGTCATTGATGAGCAATAATAAAATGGAATAGCTATGGAAGAGGAAAAGAACCTGCGTAGATGTAGACTATTTAAACGGCATCGGCAATGACTTAAGCTGTGTCGTTGATCAGATCTTCGTCCTCACCATTTCCCGATTGCCCAGCGTCTACCTACAGGACCATGTCAGCGCGCTGGCAATACGGCACGTACTTTTGCTCTACGATGATCATTATATGACGCCTGAGCAGGACAACACAGCTTAGCCCCACCGAAAGAAATGATTGATCGCGAGATCAGTCCTTCCTTTGTTTGAGCTGGATGCGCCTTTTCATCATCATCATCATTTTGACCATCATCGACGTCCTTGATCGCCCCAGATGACCGCTGCCACTTGGCGAAGTGGAACTGCGAGATGATGAAGCTCAAAGGGAACGGAAGAGCCCATCGTCTACTCCGTATCTCCCCCGCAAGACCAATCTCGAAGGAAACGTGTCGAGTACTTTTGGCTCATGGTCCCGGTCGGTTGAGGCGCTTCCGAACTCTCCCACCAAAGGATATTCCAAGACAACCGTTATGTCTGCGTTCGTGATCTTGCGGCGCCCGGAAACCTTTTTGGCAGTGGAGTCTTCATTTTTCCCTTTTGACACCTGTCTGGCCCACCAACCACACAAGGGTCGCCCACTTGCTCTTGGAGAATCAACCGGCAGATTTATCTAACTGGCTGTCATTTCACCGCAGCGGGCTGTCTGGAACTTCTGGTTGCAGTTCGCGATTCCCCTGCTGCACAGTGCACACAGTCCTATGTGTTAATTTTGTTTTTTTTAGCTTTTTTCTTTTTGTTGTTCCTCTGTGTGGACTGTTTTCGTTTTGCTGCTCGTGGACTCCCGCCAACGTCCATCTTTGCTTTTTCTTTTACCCCAGGGGAAAGTTAGGAACAAGCGCTTGGCTGGCCCGAAACAGGCATTAAGTAAACAACAGGTAAGGGCAGTTCTTCTTCCTTTTCAAAGCTCCGTCTCTCGCGACAAGAAAAAGAAAAGAAAACAAGGCCACGGTTCAACGAGGACGGGTGGATCTCCATTACCCGCCGATGAATCGTTCCTCTTTTGTAAGAAAGGAACTTTCCTTGGCCAGAACCGTCGATGATTCTATAATCTTGATTATCCTCATCTGGCTGCTGCGGTGAAAGTGATGCAGGTGATGACGATGATGCCGAGATGCTCGCTCTCTGCTCCGTCAACCGATTCTCCACGTTGGCTGTGGTCTTTGCTTGATTTTTATTTTTTATTTTAGTGAAGTTATCTCTCGGTTATGCATTCACTAATCAGCAACCCCGATAGAGAGGAAGGATCCGCAAATTGGGCTCAGGAATTACTTATTTTGCGCTCATGCTGTCGATGCCATATTCCTGCTTGTGACTGGCTCCAATTTAGAGAAATTGCCCCTCTCAAGTCACCAACCGTTGTGTTTCATTGTGCGTCTGGCAAAGATTCACTATAATAATTAGTATTATTGCCATCCATTTTGGCGGCCCACCGAGACATTTTCTGTTTCCTATATTCTCTTAAAAAAAGTGAAGAATTCCCAATAAGAAAGGAACAGTGAGGAAATACGAAGAGGAGGAGAAGACAAGGAAGAAAGACGAGGAAGAGGAAGAAAGAGAAGAAGAGACAAAAGAACAAGGTCGAGGACTTCCCAATCAGGAAAGACCCTAACGATTCAGTTTCATCCCGAAAGAAGGGCCCCTCTCCTGAGCCACCATTGTCCCTAAGTCACTGCTTCTTCCACCGCACGTTCTGCTGTCATCTCACGCCTTCATCGGCTCAAGTCTGCCCCCGTTTTCCATCGTCCCTTCAGCTCATTTTGAACGCTTAGCTCTCTTCAATTCCTCGCTGGTGCTCGAACCTGCTTTCCTTCAGCTTGACTGGTTCGAAGAGGCAGAGGATAGGATCGCTAGATTGTCGTCGCATGGGTCCACCAGCTTCACGTCTCCCATCCCCGTGCTCTAGTCTGCATGTTTGAACGGCCAGCAAACCATGTCCCGTCGCCGTGCCTCAAACAGTGAATCAATAGCCTCATTGTCTACTATGAACGAGGCAGTTGCATATCCATTCTCCGGTATGCAGCAGAACTATTTGCCCCAGAGGCGTGGCCCTATCGAGGGCCCTAACGGACGAAGGTTGATTCGGAGAGTTACCTGGCGTTCGTCTACCTACAAACTCATGGCGTCCCTTTGGGTCTTGGGCGTGTTTTACATCGTCTGGCTTATAAGGGATCTATTTTGGCTGCCCTTCGCCCCGTCAGAAACGGAGTCTACCACTGGAACTGCGGGGAAAGAGTAAGTTTTTCTGTGACCTTTGTTGTTCAGCTGTCATGGCAGCTTAATACTTACCAAAGCATTTTCCTTCTTCAGCTTTCTAGCACACTATACGGGTCGTCAGGAGTGCGGCATCTCCTCAGTCTCCTTATACAACCCCCCCGAAGATCAGGTGTATTGCCGGACTCGAGACTCATTGCTCGGCGCAATGAGCAATGGTGGCCGCCATGGCTTTGATGCTGCCTATACATCACAAGGTACGAGCGGGATTGGTTGACACTAACGCCATCTCATCAATGCGTCTCTTCGAAAATTCTTCTGCTGGCGCTTGCTACGATTCTGATGACATGCTTAGGTTGTGTCTATCGTTGGTATAGTAGCTCTCAGATCTGCGATATACTCCAAAAATTTGACGGAATCGCTTTTATCGGTGACGAATCACTGGCTGATGCTTATGCTGGATTCAATATCCTTCTCCGAGAAAATCTCGCTACTGGCGCTCTGAAAGATTGGGAGATGAACGACGTGTATAGCGGACAATGCAGATGTGACTCTCAATTCACCAACCCGTCCTGCTGGCTGAAGCGGATCAGTTCTAGCGAGGATATGTTTCTCCAAGGCGACAAACCAGGACCTCGAAGCACTTATGCCTGCTCAACCCGTGAGCTATCCACTTCAACTAGAGATTCATACATGTTAGCGCTGACGTTTGTCACTCAGATGTCCCCCATGTTTTTGTGAAAGTAGTTGGATCGCCCGCCTCAAGAGACTCTCATGAGAAAGTTCAGAAGCTGCTCGCTCGCTCCGACAGCCAAAAGAAGCCTGTACCTGTGATTCACAGTGTTTCGCTCTCGACATCATTTTCCTTGTCCACAGCCGAGAGTAGCATGGACGAATGGCTCGCTCTGACGAAAGTCAAGAAACAATACACGCCGCTGCTTTGGGTGGGGCCCACGGCTCCCGGTCATGAGAAGCCGTCGACCGATACCAATATTCCTGCCAACAGCGCCGTGTGGCAGTATGCTCTGGACACGACAAAAGCAGCTCAGAGTAGAGGGATGGAAGTTCTAGGCATGTACAATGCAACCTTGCAAGCTGCTAGCTGGGACGGCAAACATTATGGTGAAAAAGTAGCTATGATGCAAGCCATGATGGTAAGTTCTCGTCCCTGCCATTATAGCAGACTATCTGGTCTGACATTCCGCAGATCATCAACTGGCTATCCGCTCTCTAAAGGACCAAAGGGCTATCGCATATACTCAGTCCACAGGGTGCTCAACGTGATATCATGGTATGAAATATCCGTCAGATGGATGATGACTGGAGCGAACAAGTAGGTATAGCGCTCATGCGTCTTATGAATCTATACCGTGCATGACGTTTTTTCCTTAATTATTTCGCCTTCCCTCGCCCTTCCCCTCAGCTACTCTTTAAGTCACCGTTGCGCTTCTTGGATATACCTCTCGCATTTTTCCCTTCGTCGTCCTGCATTTTTACAAATTTTTTCTTTTTCCTTTTCTCCCTTTTCAACTTAGGTCTTTTGYTGCTTCTCTTCGGGTCATTCTAGTCATTTTTCTAGTGTTTAGATTTCTCGCCCATGTTCGTACGTCCGTGAATTCTCGGCGGACTCAACGCCATAGTCTGCTTCTGGTGCATTTCCTCAGCTTGGGTGGCTTTCTGCCTTTTTTACGCCGTTTGATGACCTCCCCTTTCCGCTTTTCATAAAAAGACGAAGAGCGCGAACATAGTGGAATAAAGGGGAAGAATTGGGGCCCATGTATTGAGTCGCCATTTACGTCACCGGTCCTCATCGCGACTGGGCATGTTAATTTTAATACTTTCTACGATGTGGTTCTGCTTGTCAAAAACAAGAGGTCAAACTTAGTAATCCATGCTAGTTTGACCTAGGATGGTTCAACTAATGCCCGTGTAACCTCAAGGACGTGGAGGCGGCTGGCTTCTGGCATGTTGTACAACATATACCTGAGTCTGCCTGCAGTCGGCTTCGGTGACTATCAGATCATACCTTTTGACGACTAATCGCTGTAGACTATCGTTACGTGGGATCGATATTCACCCCTAGCCTCTTGAGAAGTAGAGGAATGTAAGTAAGCCATTATTCAAAATCATCCTATGTCATTAGTATATACACATATCTATATATCAGAAAAACTCCCTTCACTGTACTCTGCATGACTCGTCAAACTTTTGTGTATGCGCCTCTTGATCGTAGCTTATCCATGGTATTAGCAGACAGTTCGTCGTATCGCTTGATTAAGTGCCGGCATTGTTTCTCTTCGGGCAGGGTTGAGATCCTTTCCCTCCCGGGGTGATTTTCCAACATTGTGTTCCAAAGGAAGTTATCAGTTTCCGAGTGCATAGTGGTTTGGGATACAGCCTTAGACGTAAAGGGCAGCGGTCTCGGCCTTGAGTAGGTGCTCCTCGTAGGGCTGAAGTGCCTTCTTGACCTCTGTCGACGTAAACTTCTCCACCTGCTGGGGAGCACGGCCGACGAAGGTGCTGGGATCGAGGAGAGTATCGAGTTCGTCAAGGATGGGGGCGAAGAAGGCGGTGCGACGGACGCGTTCGATCAGATCGTTGTTCTTTCCGAGCTTCTTGACGTTGTCCGATGCTTGGTGGGAGAGGACGCCTGCGGGCATTAATGTCAGTGAGTGTACTTTGCGGTAGAAGAGGCCAGGGAGGCGCGTACGGATTTCCTCATGAGCATCCTGGCGGGAGAGACCCTTCTTCACACATGCCATGATGATCTATTCAGTCAGTATATGTGTTCGTCAGGTTATTCTTCTGTCTTAGACTTACGTTCTCACTACATAAGGGTTAGTACATTATTTGCAGTGGAGGCTGGAGTAGGAGAAGTGACTTACGTTGCCATGAAAGGAAGCTCGTCGTTGACGCGGCGTCTGATGACTTCGGGGTACACAACGAAGCCGGAAGCGACATTGTCTGAGATATGCGTCAGATGTTAAGAACACAAATACATGATTTGCTTCCACTTACTGAGAAGGATCAAGCAGGCATCGGCCGAAAGGTAAAGCTCGGGAAGGCTGATACGACGGATGGCGCTGTCATCCTGGAAATGGTCAATGATAATGTTGCGTGCACACAACTAATGTCGGGGTGTATTATCTTACCAATGAACGCTCGAACCATTGTGCGGAGTAGGTGTCCAGAGCATCCTTGGGCAGGTTCTGGAGGTGTCTTCCGAGCGAGCAAAGTCGCTCAGAGCGCATAGGGTTACGCTTGTAAGCCTGGACGACACGGTAAGTTCATGTTCCCTTCACCTTGTGGGCAAGAGAGAGTCCGACTTACCATAGCACTGCTTCCAATCTGATCCTTCTCAAAAGGTTCCTCAACCTCCTTGAGCATAGCCAGATGGCGGATGTCAATACCGATACGCTCGCAAGTAGATCCAAACGAGCCAAGAGCGTTGGCCACGTCAACATCGATCTTGCGCGAATATGTCTGGCTAGAGATGATGAATGCCGAATCGAAACCGGCCTTCTTGGTAACAAGCTCATCAAGTTGCTCAACCTTGTCGTGGTCACCGTTGAAGATCTGGAGGAAGGAGGCCTGAGTACCAGTGGTACCCTTGACACCACGGAAACGGAGGTCATCGCGGGCCCGCTCAAGGTTCCGCAAATCCATGAGCAAGTCCTGAATCCACAGACAGGCTCTCTTTCCAACGGTCACAAGCTGAGCAGGCTGACCGTGGGTGAAACCCAGGCAGGGCAGATCCTTGTACTGCTTGGCGAACGCAGAGAGCTTATCAATGACAACTGCGAGCTTAGGGATGAGAATATCCAATCCGTCACGGAGGAAGATAAGATCCGCATTGTCCGTGCAGTAGCACGAAGTAGCACCCCAGTGGATGATACCGGCAGCTGCGGGAGCGACTTGGCCAAAGGCGTGAACGTGCGCCATGACATCGTGTCTCCGACGCTTTTCCTCCTCAGCAGCAACTTTGAACTCGTCGTCCTGAATAGTGAGGTGGGCCTTCATCTGTTCAATGGCCTCATCGGGGATAGGAAGGCCAAGCTCTGCGCTTGTTAGCTCTCCAAACTTCAATGTAAAGTCCCCCTTAGAGGAAAACTGTTCTCCCCTTCGCATTCACGGAGGCGAGCAATCGGTTGTACACACCCTTCTGAGACTCCGCAAGCCACAGCCACAATTGCCTCCATGTTGAAAATCGGTTTCTGGGAGAGAAAAGATACTTCATCTCGTTGCCTTTATATCAATGACGATTAGTGACTACAAAGCGGGACTAACTCGGCCACGGCTTCAAGAGCGCAAATTGCGGGGCACACTTACTCGCATAACGCGAGTTGAGAGGAGTCTGGTAAACATCGTTGCTGGAAGACATCTTGTCGAAAGGAATTCGGCCTTCTCTAAGGAGAATTGGAGATGAAGAAACAAAGAAGTTGAAAGCCGATGTGTGCGTACCCCAAGGAAATTTTGTAGAATTTAGCGGGGTGGCTTATCAGTCACGTTATCAGGAGGGGCTATCAACCACGGAGATCGTCACATGATGGGGTAACAAAAAGGCCTATGTACATTTCCAACTAGAAGTATTATAATTAATCGAGGTATATGTGGCAAGTTGCACGGGTATCTGATCATAAACCCCGTTCTTGGACTCTGCAGACATGGAGCAACCATACTTTCCAACTGTATCAGGGCCAGCTTTCAGCGGAGGAAGATGCCGATGCCGGAGACCACATTAAACCCTGTGCTGATTTTCTATGCCAATGCAGCCAACTGCGCAGAGAGACTTCCTTTGTCATATTTGACATACTTGCCCCTGCCTTTATCAATTTCGTGGTAGCGATCCCAGAAGCGCGCATATAGCGGTTCTAAAACGGCCTGTACCTCACGCGCCAATACTCCGCGCACCTCTCGTTCCATGTACAGAGCCTTGTGGCGGCTGACCAGTTCATCGAAGCTTGCATTGAATGCCTTGAACTTGTCCTTGATGGCATCCTTGTCCTTAGAAGAAAGTGACTTTACTATTGCGCTGGAATCGACAATGCCACCGGAAGCTGGTCGGGCTCCGGCACGCGATGTATACTGGACATCCAGAAGATACTGCGATGTTTCTTTCCACGCATCAAGATAAGTTGACGTGGCCCGCTTCCGAAATGTGTCTATACGCGCGATGCTATCTGGTGTGCCCAAATGGCGTGCCAACTCAGGGCTTTGTCGAATAGCGCGGTCGACAATGCAGAAAACATTGGATAAGAAGACGCCCTGCACGGCTTTCGAACGATGAAGTGCTCGACCTCGAGCCTCAAGCGAACTCATCAGAGCTTCAATCATATCCAGAATAAAGTGCGATAACAAGGCCGAGCTGTCTGGACTGACATCTAAAGGAGCGGTCCCTGACGCATTGGCTGTAGAGCGCCAGTTGCCGTCTCCTAGGGAAGTTAAGATGGATGCTAATGGTCCGGAATAACCAGTCAATGTAGTGAGCGAGCTCATGACTTCGTTCACGAGAGGGACCGATCCGCCGTCCGGAGGAAGAACCGGGATGCTCGCGGCTCTGCGTTTCGTTTCCTCAAGCAGCTCCGAGAGAGATGACTTTGCCGTCTCACGAACTGGCCGAAGAGCTTCTATGAACAAGCTCTTTAGCTCGCCCGTCCTCGAGTCAACGCGGTAAGACATCGCTGTGACAATCTCGATTATCTCGAACGCTAAGAAGCAGTCCGTCATCAGATTGGCCTTGATATACTCGTTGAGCTCACGCAAGGTTTTTGAGTATTCGGCCAGTGCAGATCGGAACGTCGTCTGCAAAGCCAGCCCTCGCTGGTCGCCTGTGAAGATCTGCGCAATAATCTCGTATTCGGTGGATATGAAGTTTTCAAGCGCGTTAGAGTATATCCCTATGCCGTTGGTGCCCTGCTTATAGGGACCGTCGGCAGCTCTTCGTTTGACAGTATTCAGCGAGGCTATGGCAAGATTCTGTAGGCTTGACATCAGGTAAGCCCCGCGCACATCGGCGTATATTTTGAGCGCCGGGTTGCCCCCATCGCCGCGTTGTGGACCGTGGCTTGCTGCTGAGTCGATTGCAGCGCATATCGACGTTAACTCCAAGATTGTCTCTTGGGGTATCGATGGGAATGGGAGATCTGCGAGAATTCGTAGGAGTCAGCGTAATTGGTCTAAGGCTTGATCGACTGTGAAGCAATCTCGTACCTTTCGTTAAATAATGTAATGGCT